CTCTGTCACAAAGATGATCGATTATTACATTACATTATTCATTCTCAAATAAGTTGATGCTTGAGGCTAGTCAGAAAACTGATTCACCTTACCATGGTGACCTTTACAGCGGACCTACAGTATATGAGAAACGGAATTTGTTTTCAGTAGAGAAACTTGAGAAAGCAGCATCGTGTTCTTTGTTAGATATTACATCCTTAAGAACTCATTGTTCATGTTCAAAAAGTTGGTTTACCAAATACGAAGGACAGAGTTTTTACAGGCTGTTAATAGTTATTTACTTATATATCAGAACTTTATGAAACAAACATACACTACAGAAAGATAAAATACGTGAGAGAATGATCTGTACCTAAAGACGGAACTTCAAGATTTTTCTTGCTGCACGGTTTTCCAAGGCTGTCGGCAACGGAGGCGTGGTAGAAAGCCAGCCGATCGTAAGTACATTCTTGATCTTCGTACCCTTCGATGTCGAACGTGTCGAACTTCAGGGCCAAGAACTACGAATATCAAATACGAAAATAGTTTACATTTTAAAGAACAAAAGCGCGATTGATTTTTAAATCTCAGCCTACATTGATGGAAAGTAAACAGTAATCGTATCCTGAATCACGTGAACAAATACTTAACTCTTAAAAAAGTGGCTTGGTTCAAAATGACCTAAGTCAACGCTAACCGACGAGAATCGAACATGCGTTGCCTCATGAATGATTTTATGCCGTTCAAGATTTGTTCCTCTCACGATGTTGTGATTGATCAGATTGAGACAGACACTTGGTCGGAGTCAACGGAGGGCTGGGAGCAGCGAGAATGACGAGTCTACTAAAGCATTAGATGTATGCACGAAAAACTTGTATTTTTCAAACGACCTTGTGTTGTTGTCATTTTTAAAAACTTATTTCCAGGGCTTTATGGATAGGTCCGCGGCTGAATGCCATGTGGCCAACATGCGTCTGAAAGTATCTGGAACCCAAGGCCTAGTGCTTTCTCGGTCTCGCGCACGCTGTGCTCTGATGACAGATGAGGCGGCAGTGGAACATGTGGAAAACTTCACGTACGTCAGGGCTGTGTTTACCAGCGATGTCAAATAGAAGTGAGATACGGACCGAAGAATTAGACTCGAAAGCGGCTTCTGCATGAACTTGCCCAAAACGTTATTATTTGACAACGCAGTTCCATGGTTCTTGAAATGGTCCGCCTGTTTCATTGTAATACCATTTAAATGGGACTTCGAACCTTGGCAGAGTCATGCTGCCTCTCGGACTTCTTCAGTCAGT